AAGTAGTTTCATCATCAAAATACGAGATTCAACACTGCGGAAACAATCCGAGAAGTCGAGGAGCTTGCCAAAGAAGCTCGTCGGAACTTGCCAAGAGGACCGTCGTAAGTCCAAGAGTTTGCCGGGAGTCCGCCGGAGTATCGCCGAGGATTCGTCGGATGTTCGTCGGAAGTTCGCTGGAAGCTCGCTGGAAGAAGCAATTGATGCACCGGAACACGATCTGCAGTATTGATATCTTAATTATCGTAGTTAGCATGTAGATTAAGTTAGGATTGGGAGGTGATCCCATTAACTTAATCTGAAGCCAACTAGGCCCTTGGCAGACCCAAATTAGGCCGAATGGATCAGCCCATTCAGACCCAGAATTCCTGGCCGGTGGTAGCACCGCCAGAGCCGGCGGTGGCACCGCCCAAGAGACTCGGTCTCTCAGGAGTTTTGGGCGGTAGTACCGCCCTTGTCAGGTGACGATACCACCCCTGTCAAGCGGTGGTACCGCCTGAGCTCGGTCTCCGAGCGATGTCAGGCGGTAGTACCGCCCAGACTGAGCGGTAGTACTTCTCAGTGACAGATGACAGACAGTAGTACCGCCCAATTATGGCGGTGGTACCGCCAAGACCCTAGAAATCTTAGAATGAACACTTTTGAGCTCCGAATTCAAATTGATTGGGGCCTATATAAACCCCATCCGTTCCTGCATGAAAGGGCACCGAAAACTTGCTTTTATTCTGAGTATTTGAGAGCTTAAAAGTATTGTAAAAGGCTAGAGTTCCTCTCCCTTTTTTATTTCTAAGTCTTGATCATTCAAGAGAGGAGTGAAAACTTATAAGGGTTGTCTCTAAGTCCGTCAAAAGGAGAAAAACTGTAAAAGAGTGGTTGACCTTCGCCCGTTGAAGGAAGGCCTCTAGTGGACATCGATGGCCTCATCGGAGGAGGAAGCTAAAAGTGGATGTACGTCAAGATTGACCAAACCACTTTAAATCTCGATTTGCATTTACATTATGCTCTTTATCTTAACTGCAAACTACCTCTATGGCTTTATATCAACTATAGTTACGTTTGTTCTCTTTATATCAACTATACTTCCGTATACGTTCAGATGAACATTTCTTACATGTGTTGGTAATTAATATTGCTACTACTACAACACTATTTTAACGATTCTAATTTATTGTAAGACCAGTTTATTATAATGTGTTTGTGAGTTCAGCAGCTGCATAAAATGGACCGAAGGAAAGATTTGGAGTGATTAAATGCCTCCAAGAAATCAACAACTCTTCCTAATTGCTTGAAGTACAACTATAAACTAATGCGGTATGGAGACTTGTTCAAGCTGTTCTTGATCAATTTCTTCTTCTTATTTATACTGGTTTTTTTGTTCTCAAAACGACTATTTGATTGAGGAGGTTCCAAATACAATCACAGTTGCATGTTGGAGAGTGTTTTTTTTTTTTTAATTATTGTTAGACTGGGGAGATTTATAATGAATGGATTTGTACACACACATATATATATATATATATATATATATATATATATATATATATATATATATATATATATATATATTAAAATTTTTAAAATATCATATTTTTCATTATAAATTTTAATACAATATGTATATTCCTTTTTTAAATAATATTCTCGACACATGTCATTATCATAAACATCCATGTAGAACATCTTTTGGAACTTCTTTTAGTTAAATAATACGCATAAAATATCTAAAATATTGTTAATATTTTTAACATCATAATATAATTTTTAAAATAATTATATATATTATAAAATTAATAATTTACTTATCATAACTAACATAATTGCATGTAAATAAGTTTTTTAGATTCTTAGTGTTGAAAATGATCAATTATTATTAGGTTTGACTCATTTTTACATTACTTTACAATTGAATCTTCGAGGTGGTATGTTGTTTTTGAAGAATTCTTCACAACCCTAACATCACTCATAAGACTAGTGCTCTAGTTTAAGAACATACTGAGAAAATCATTTCGATACTCAAGTTAATAAGATATTTTTATATGATATAAAAAAAGAGTTTAACATATGAAATCATAAGGTCTCCTATTTACAAAGAAGGAACAAGTGAATAAAAATATTATAAATAATATTCTTTATATCGTATTCCCGATGGATAGATATGATCGATTGAATTCTATATATCGAATCTCCGATCGATTGAGAATGTTGATTATATTAAAAATGATTATATATATGTTGAACTTAAAATTTAAGAGACGAATATAAAAATCCCTTATTTGGGGGTAATATATATATATATATATATATATGTAATATTATAAAATAAAAACATTAGTTGCTTGCCGGAAGAGAAATGAAATGAAAGAGTAGTGGGAGGAGACCAATTGGCCTTCAATTATGCAACAGCTCATGATGGATTCTCTTAGTCATGCTATCTTGCAAGACATGTCATCGATGTCTTCCTAAATATTCTAATCTCATAACTATCTTATTAATCTTTTGACGCATTCTTAGCTTTTAAGTCAATCATATGATAATTCGGATCAGATTAATCAGCATCAAGATTATCACCGTCGGAATCCGACGGTGCCGATCCGCCCACCGACATGAGTCCGGTCACCGGACGGTGCCCATCTCTGTCGCTTTCTGTCTCCGTTCTCTTGGTTGGTTCTACAGCAGCGGCAGCAAAAAGCCCTCTTCTCTCAGCTCACAGTAACAGGACAGTAATCATTTCTTACCGTGATCGAGCATCTACTACCCGCCCCGATCATCGAGATCGGAATGTGATGATTGTCCTCTTTATCTTCTATAAATTCTTGGCTTTTGGATTCTTCTCCCTCGTCGTGCCAGCTTGCTTCCCTTCCTTCCTCTTTTCGGTGAATAATAATATATAGCAGAAATAGTCGAATTATTGGCATTATTATTGTTGTATAGTGTAGCCACAGCAGAGAGTCGAGGGGAGGGGGGGGAGAGAGGGGCTTGTCTGTTCCTGTAATCCTTGGTGCCGAGTGGGGAGAATGGCGAAGGCGAGAGGGAGAGAGACGCTGGCGATTGGGGTTCTCTTCGCCTGCATTTTGGTCGGCAATCCGGGAGGTGTCGGTGGCGCCACGGACCAGAATGACGGTGAGTGGTTTCAGATCCTCAGCAGCTTTTTCCTTTCTTTTTCTTGAAAGAAAAAGGGAGCTTCTTTTCTTCTCCTTTTCTTTTGGGTGGAATCTTTTTCGAGTCGGACTTAAGGTTAGATTTGAATGGAAAGATAGAGAGGATCGCCGCATTAACATGTTGATGCTGAATCTTGGTTCTTTTTTTATGTGGGCATTGTCTAAAAGGCGAAAATTCGTGTTCTTGATCCTTGTTCTTGCCTTCTTTGCTGGATTTTGGGATCAAAGATTTGGGTACCTTTTGGTTTATGGTGGGTGGTAAACGCTGGAACTATTTATGTAGATTTTGGTTGGATTTGAAGGAAGATCTAACCTTTGACGGAAAAAAGAGAGAAGATACGTTTCCAAACAAGGGGAGATGCCTTGATTTCTTGTTTGTGGGTTTAGGAGACAGAAGAGTGCTTCTACTTTTCAGGCGAATTTTACCCTTTGCTAGATGTTCCTGGTGTTTTGGCCTGCAACCCTGAGAAATGTAAATGAAAACCGTCCCGATTGCAACTGCATCACTCTCTTTTAAATAAAAGTTGCAATGAGCTAATTGAAATTGCCAATACTTCTGCTTCAATTTTTTTTTGCTCTTATCTTGAAAGCATTGGTTCCTACTGTATGTAATGAAGGGCATAGTCTGAGATTCACGATTTGCTAAGTTGAGTACTAAATTTTTTTGTTGTAATGTTCCATTTGCAGTTTCAACTCTCAATGTCCTGTTTACGAGCCTGAATTCACCATCTCAGCTAACCGGCTGGATTGCAAATGGTGGTGATCCCTGTGGGCAATCATGGCTGGGTGTTACATGCACTGGATCGGCCATTACAACTATGTGAGGTTTCATCAAAGTGGAATTGATGTTTGGAGATGTTGCTAATCCCTACTTTATCTGATACATGTTTCCCTTTTGGACTATATCAGCAAATTATCTGGGTTGGGACTCTCTGGAACACTAGGCTATAATTTGCAAACCATGACTTCACTGGCAGAACTGTGAGTTGGATAACTCTTCACTGTGTATATGTATTTAGAATTTGGAATTTAATTTCTTGATATTGACACAGTGACATGAGCAATAATAATATTGGAAGCGGAGGCCAGTTACCTTATAATCTTCCTCCAAACCTCCAGAGCCTGTAAGTTACCGTGAATGTGGATAGCATCAACTGTTTTCTTGGTTTCTTGTGACTATTTTATAAGGATAACATGTGCAGAAACCTTGGCGGTAACCAATTTTCTGGAAATATACCTTATTCAATCTCCCTGATGGTGACACTTAAATATCTGTAAGTGGCTTTGTAATTCCATTACTGATTATTAGATGCTTTCAAACTAAACCAATTTCTGATTGATGTAGAAATCTTGCTCATAATCAGCTACAAGGAAATCTGACCGAAATGTTTGGAGGCCTTACTAATCTCACTACAATGTAAGTACAACTTGTACTTTCTTGGCCTTGTTTTACTCATTGTTTCATAAAAAACACCTGTCCAATCATCAACCTTTCGGTTTGCCAGAATTTTTTTTTTCTGGAACACCTATTTCTGAATATTAAAGCTTGCATTTGGTGTACCATGTCACATTCTTAAATTCAGTTGCAGAGCTTGGGCTAAATTTCATGTTCTGGAAAATTATTGAAAATGGTGAATGATAATTTCTAGAAGGTTCATTGTTTTTGCCAATTTGTTCATTTCACCAGCAGATATTCCTGCTAGAAACTGATAGGCGATTGATGTTGCACTGATGTTTCCTTTGATGACATTATCCAAGTGAATATCTAAGTTAAAGATTAAGTTCTTCTTACTGCAGGGACCTGTCCTTCAATCAACTGACTGGTGATCTTCCGCAGAGCTTCAGCAACCTATCAAGTTTGACAACCTTGTATGTTGAATATATTTATTTCTAACATGTTTTCATAAAAAAGGTACTCATGTTAACATCCATTTACATTATGCAGATATTTGGAGAACAACCAATTTACTGGCCACATAGACATCCTTGCCAATCTTCCCCTACAAGATTTGTAAGTTTGTATACACAGAAATGTCCCTGTATAATAGAAATAGTTTGCATATTGTACACTTTTTACACATTCTTGCTTTTAGGAATGTGGCAAATAACCGCTTTACAGGATGGATTCCTGATCAGTTGAAAAAGATTAATAATCTTCGGTGAGTACTCATTGTTTTGTTGGCATAAATGATGACCTAATAACCATGTAAATTTCCATATAAAAGCCTCATGTACTTATCTTATATTTGTAGTACTGATGGTAACTCATGGAGCTCAACACCAGCACCTCCACCACCACCTTATAGGCCTCCTCCACCAGGTCGAAAAAGCAACCCAGGCCAACATTCTGGTGGAAGTAACAAATCATCTGGTGGCGGAAATAACTCTGGTATAGGTGCTGGGGTTATAGCGGGAATCGTCATATCTGTTTTGGTCGTAGGAGGAATACTTGCATTTTTCTTGATGAGGAGGAAATCACAAAAGCATTCAAAGGAAGAAATTTTTGAAAAAGATCCGCCTTTTGCCCCTCTTGCTTCCAATGATGCTAAAGGTAATTGGACTCGTATAAATGTATTTTCTTTGGATTATTTTATTTTATTTTATTTATTATACACATGAAGCATGTGATCTGCCAGCCTCTCTTCAATCAACTGCTGCCTTTAATTTGCATTTCCCACTTGAGGGCATGAGATCTGCTGTCCCATGCCATCCACTTCATCATTGGCATCCATTTCTTGCTTCAGTTTAGCTGCATCAACCAACTAAGAGAGAATTTTTGGCAGATCTCATGCAACCACTTGCAACAAGGGATGTGAGGGAGCATTTTTTTTTTTTCAAATGTTGAACAAAGGACATTTTGGATTAATTTCTGACTCTATAATACCAATATGTTGCACAGATCGAAGTATTCCTATGTGTAATGTTGTATCATGACTTGGGATTGGACCAAATTGTTGCCTACTTATTCTGAGTGAATGTATCTTCACGCACTTTTAACGAAGTATTAACATGTACAAACTTATTAACTTCTCTGAACATACAAGGCCCGAAAGTTCTTTAGCTGAATGACCACTCAGCTGGGCCTTATAATTTATTAGAGACCTGTAACAGATATTTATCTGATGTATTTTTTTAATTTCATTTTTTAGATTTATGTTTTAATGACTAAAAACTCTACTTTTGAACAAGAATAATAATTTTAAAGCTATATAGCTTCGGTTTTTTTCCTTTTATTTGAGGTGTAATGTTTATGGTTTGTTGCATGCCATTCTTGATTAGTCATGTTTGTAGTGCTTTAACTTTTTTGTTGATGAAATTAAAACTCATCTATTGTTAGGCTACACCAATTGATTTAGATGGTTGATTTCTAGTTGTGTAAAGTTCTATTGCATAAGTTAGCCACTGATATAAAGCATCGGATTCCCTTTACATGTTGGTTAAATCTATAGAAAGCATTTGATAACACACATTTGGAACCTGTCAATGTTATATAACATTATAACCTCCAAAAGATAAATTGCCAACTAGATCTTTCTTTTTCACTTCATCGGAGCACGTTCTTTTTCAAAGTTCATCAATCCTTTTAATAGCTGGTAAAAAGGAAAGGCTGCTAAGTACAAGTAACGAGGTAGCCACTTTTCTTTTCACATAAACTCCTAACATGCATATAACTCAGGTAACTATCATGAGGTCGCCTGATCTGGAAGCATGATGAAATCATTCATAAATGCCTTTCATCCCATTTGACTTACTAAAGAAGGTAGAATTGAAATATAAAGGTGCAGAGGCACCAATACTCCAAGAACTTTATGTGATGGCATTGGGCACCATTTATTTAGGCCCTATGCAATTAAGGCTGCTGACCTGGTACAAGCGACCATTCATCAGGACTATTTGCTTGTCTCACTGTATCAGAAACTGGCTGGTTTTTTGGGAGAAATGTTGACTTAAGAGGTTCCCTATTAGAATTACTTGTATTGGCAAAATGTGCAGTTTGAAAGAACATCAATGCATTTTGGTTAAACGTTTGATGAAAGCTTTTCTTACTTGTTGTCTATTAGGATTCATATCAAGACTTTTGGACCATAAAATTTGATGAGTTGGACAAGTGTTGTAAACATGTTGTAGGTTAAATTCTTAAATAGATAACTCATGACAAATATCTAATCATAGTAGACTCAGTGACATTCAAAACATCATAAGCTGATTTCAGTCTTTGGCTTTTCATTTGTGCCTGTTGGTCTTTAGTTTTAGATTTGTACCAGACAAATTTTAAGATACTTTCCATGTGAAATGAACATTAGCTATTCTTTTCACTGTTATTAGGTAATTAGATTTCTGGTTCATACTATGTATTATTTTTTTGCTTATTGTTGAACAATCTTTTATAGAGATGAAGACAATCCAGGCATCCTCTACATCTCATACAGCAATATTGCCACCACCTGCTCCTATAAGCCTTAAACCTCCACCTATCGAGAGGCATAAATCATTTGACGAAGATGATTTCTCAAACAAGCCTATTGTGAAGAAGGCTAACACAACACCAATAAAGGCAGCTGTTTATTCAGTAGCAGATTTGCAGATTGCCACAGATAGCTTCAGCATAGATAATCTTGTAGGTGAAGGCTCTTTTGGTCGTGTTTACAAGGCACAATTTAGTGATGGAAAGGTAATATTTACTTCAAATGAGAGTGTTTCTATCCTTACATTGATCTTGATTCATTTTTATCTTTTCTTTCTCAACTAAGCATCTCTGTTATTTAGGTTTGAATAGCATATTTCATGTGAGGTGTCTGTTTCTCTTGGAAAAGGAGACTAACTTGGGAGATGAAACATTGGAGATATTTTATCATTAAAAATGAATCATATTAATGGGGAGTATTTGTTGTCACTAGAAGCAGCATCAAGTTCTGCAGGATGGCTGCAAAACTGATGGAACAACCATGCCAACTATATTGACAAATCAAAACCAAGTAGCATAAATTTCAAAAATAATTTTCTAAAAACACAAACAACCAACTATTTCTTTCACTTTCTAGCAGGTTCATCATCAATAATAAATAGAGATGGCATGTCTAATAATAGCTCATGAATTTTCATATTAGTAAGTTAATGCACTTCTATAACGACAGTAGAGCTCATGAATCATCATGCACAAGAAAGCACTTTAATTTTTCTACTGCAGTAGTAGTGGTTGTCATGTTCTTGTAAAATACTCGCTTACCTAGTTACAAGCTTCTATTGAGTTTCCATAGTAATATCCTTTCTTTTTTTCAATATGTTCATGAGACAAATTTTCTCGACGATGTAACTGAAAATTAGTTCTTGGAGATATTACTGCCCCTTATGTCCATAAATAAACATGTACTTCACAACACTCTCTTCATTAATGTTTTCTGCTCTTTGAAATTCTGTATAATAGTAGCTTCTTTCAGGAATTTAGGAACTGAAGATAAATACTATTTGTCTGTAGATTATGGCTGTGAAGAAGATAAATTCTTCAGCTCTGCCCAATCAATTACCAGATTGCTTCATTGAACTGGTTTCAAATATCTCACGTCTGCATCACCCAAATTTGTGTGAACTGGTAGGTTATTGTTCTGAACATGGGCAGCATCTACTGGTATATGAATTTTACAAGAATGGCTCGCTGCATGATCTGCTTCACCTCTCAGATGAATACAGCAAGTCATTGAGCTGGAATGCTCGTGTCAAAATAGCCCTTGGCACAGCACGAGCATTAGAGTAAGTGAAAATATGTTCTTCTTTTTTTGTCTTTTTGTTAAACCTGATTTTTTTTGTTTCTGTGGTTGACAAAATCATATATGCCATTTGATCAAGAAATTACTTCTAATCTTGCTTCAGGCTGGCTAGAAATATTCTCTGAGAATTTTCTTGTGTTGACACAGATGTCTTCCATCAACAAAATCAATGATCTCATTTCTCATCATTAGACTTAGAGAATCATTATTCTGACTCACAATCTTTACAGTATTGCATTTGTCTCTTGTATGGTGTTTTTGGCCTTCCTGAACTATTCAAGTACATGTTTGGACCATCTTCTCCGTGCAAATTTTTTAGGACTTAACATTGCCTTACATGATCAACCCATGAATCTTGTTCAAAGCTAGTAATGTCTTGTGGAGAAATTCAGCCATAAAATTGGACAAGTTTGCTGGTTCTACAGAAACTGTCTTATTGCAGAAGATTTCAATGGCTATGACAAACTTAATGGTTGACAGTCATTTTTTCATCTTAAAGAATGTCAAATTTCTCACAACCAGATAATAGTTTAATTGAGTACTCAGATTGAAGTATGTTATGTTAAGTTGAGGATTTGAATTGGTAGCATTAGTTATACATTTCTGCTGCTCTCTCGTACCCATTAGCAGTATTATGTTAAACGTCTTATCCTTTTTGCAACGAGGTTCTTCTATCTCACCTTTTTTTTTAAACCAATGAATAAACTATTTCTTTCAAGCAAAGTTTGAAATATCGTACCGTACCGACGTTTCGATAGTCGCTTGGTATGGTACAATACTGTATATCGAGCGGTATACCATTTGGTATACCGCTCGGTATATATATATATATATATATATATATATATATATATATATATATATATATATACCGTCCGGTAATGGGTGGTCCGTGTACCAGTCAACTGACAGACCGGTACATACCGCTCAGTACGGGCGGTATTATTCGAAACTGTATACCTTGCTTTCAAGTATAACAGGCATGAATGACCGACTTGATACACAAACTTGAGGTTGGGTGATTGAGTCCTAAATGCCTTGATACACAAACTTGTCAGTGACCTTTCACATCATATATGAAAATTGTCATAGTTACCAAAACCCCATTTAGGTATCAAATGATATGATTCCTAGTGAACAAATATATTATTTGCAATAAACCGAATAGTAATGTATTATGCAAAAACTCATGAATATTACAAACTATATATACTAATTCATGAATATTATCTACGAGTTGTAAAAGATGTATTGGTATTTCATATAGTTGAGGTATCTGTTCCCCTTTTTACTTCAAATCAATCATGTTGTTAAATGTTACTTGCAGGTATCTGCATGAAGTTTGCTCACCGTCTCTTGTCCACAAGAATTTTAAGTCATCCAATATATTGTTAGACATGGAGCTCAACCCACACCTTTCAGATTGTGGGTTCGAGAGCCTTGTTCCTGATGCAGAATTTCAGGTAAAGCTCTATGTCATATATGTCTACTTTGAATTAGTTTTTCTACAAGGTTTTAGCAGTAAATATATGTCGTTGATAATAACATTATATCTTTAGAATTATCTGCATTTTACCAGAGAAACATTTAGCAATTTCCTGAGGAAAAATCAGTTTCTTGTATTCTATGGTCACTTAAGCTAATCTCTGTTATTTGCCATTGTTATTTCATTCACAATATCAATTAAACAAAACTGTATACTATGTGACATTTAAGTCCTGCTTTATAGGAGGATGTGAATGAAGTGAAAGAATATGGAAAAGGAGGGGAGAAATTCAGTATATTAAGCAAGTTACTTAAGAATGAAGATGAATAACTGATGGATACTGATCCTTTTGACTTCTCAAGTTTCAGAGGTATGTCAGAAAGTTAGTTTCCCTCTGACAGTGGGGATTCAGAGAATCGTATAGCATGTAACTGGCTAACTTGCAGGAACAGATACTAAGCTTAAAATTGTGGCAGCATGTGTTGGTGCTGTATTGGATATGATTAATGGAGAGACTGACTAAGCTGTTGATGACATAGGATCCATTGGTTAAGAAGCTTAATTGCAGCACTAGCCATATAGGTTTAAGTTCAGGTGGATAACTTGGGTGTTAAAAGAAGAATGTGAGGCTAACAGCTATATGGACTTATTATATCTGACTGATGGAAGAAAGCATAGATCACAGATATGAGATGATAGTTGTGATGTTATTTTATGCATATGATTAGGGAGCTAGAGTTTGAAAGCTGTGTAGATGATGTCAAACAAGGGCTGAACCTGTTGTCCATTTAATAGGTCCGGTCTTATGGTATGTTATAGCCATGAGTAAGTGCTGATGAAGTTTTTTGTTTCTCATCTTTTTGCCTCATTCCTGTTCTTCTGGTGACAAGTGTGGTGGGGTCACTGTTCAGATTGAGGATTTCATAAGATCAGTCTTTAGAAGTGAACTTTAAGTAGTTGTAACAACAGTTTGAGATCCATGGCTGAGAAATATTTAACCTTGCCATAAGTCAAACAGCTCAACAAAGTGGATTAGTAGCTAACATTATTTTCTCTAAGATAAACATAGACCAATGCAGGGATCAGCCTAGACAAATTGTACTGAAATTCTAGACCCAAGATTTAATAGGAAAAGATATCAAGAGCTGCTAATGGCTGTGGCTCAATCCATGAAGCACAGTTCAACATGCTTGCATAAGTGTGTAAGACACCGACCCTGACCAGACACCTCTTGACATGTGCCCAACAGTTCAAAGAGATATTAGGATTATATATGTTTGCTTAAATCATGGATCTAAGGCCTTAGTACATGTTGATATTGACAATATATATGTATTTGGACTTTAGGCTTACTCCTTAATTTTGTATTATATATATCTGTTTATGTACATCTGTATGTGTGTCAAATACTTTTGTGAATGGTGCTTCTTATATGAATGGTTGTTATACTTCATTTTAGTTTTATATAAAAACTGCATCCCTGTGCATATCTACACATCATGACCATTGATTGTCTACGCTATACAAATCATAATATTATTATAGCCTATGAATTATGAAATATATATGTATCAATCGCCTCATAAGACTGTCAATGCGGTGCCCTGTCCTTTTGTTACATCTGCCATATCAGCATCTATATTGTGTTGTGTCCATGTCCTGTGTTCATATGCATGTTTAATACAGCTCAAGTGATGGATTCACCTCCTCTAGATGATAATTTTCTAGTTGTTTTGTAGGCGGTAGTACTGATATTTACATAGGATTCTTGCTAGAAGCAGTTATTTTTATCAACATGCTTGGATTAGTCTTTGCCATATAAATTTCCTTAAGATAATTAATTTTCCTTAATTTTTCTCTGAAGGCATCTGAACAGAATATGGCATCTGGATATAGTCCTCCTGAAGTTGCCATGTCTGGCCAGTATACTTTGAAGAGTGATGTCTACAACTTTGGTGTTGTCATGCTAGAACTTTTGACTGGGCGGAAGCCTTTCGACAGGTAACTCTATATTTGCTATAACTTGATTCACAAACAGAATCCAAGCACCAAATTTCTGTGATTCCAAACTTAACCTTGCTCTGCCTTTCAGAGTCAATTGAAAGGCATCTTGCCAGTCTACTTATTCGCATTCAATATACACATTCCTATAAGGATTTTCTTTTCATGCCTTGGGTGATATATTATCCATGTGGCGCAGCTGAAATCAGTTGGTTTTGTTGTTTGATGCTGATGCTGATGCTCTGGTTTGTCGTCGCAAAACTCCTTACAGCTCGAGACCAAGATCTGAGCAGTCATTGGTTCGATGGGCTACACCTCAGCTCCATGACATCGATGCACTAGACAGGATGATCGATCCTGACCTCAAGGGGCTATACCCTGCAAAATCGCTTTCTCGATTCGCTGATGTGATAGCTCTCTGCGTACAGGTAAAACCATGCATCACATACAATACTTTGTTTGATTCATTTTGCCTAGGCAAAACTTGACATATCTGGCATTGTGTACCAAAGCTGCAGTGTAGCTGTTTGCACTCATCTGGATTATGTTTGAACTTTAATTGAGTTCGTTGGATTTTGTTTCTGTTGGCAGCCCGAGCCTGAGTTCCGACCACCCATGTCAGAAGTTGTGCAAGCGCTAGTTCGCCTGGTTCAGAGGGCCAACATGAGCAGCAAGCGAACCGTAGGTGGAGAAGGACCAGAGACTCGGCGAGCCGATGAATCGGATGACTATACTTTCTAGTTGCATGAGATATATCCAGCTTGGTTTTGCAAAATCTTTTGCATGTTTATATACTTATTTCTCAGATATTGTTACACGTTACCTCTGTCTTTGGTTTCGTTGCTATGAAACATATTTTCGACTACAATCCTTACACTGCAATGAAATAAGCCTCTGTATCGCAGACTGAATCATTGTCCTGTCGCATCAGCCATCGGCGAATTCCGCCATGGACAAGGGAGAGTCTAGGGGTGCTTCAATTGGGCATTGGTACTGTTTCCAGGGTTTTAGGAGGAGAGAGGGAGGGTCTGATGGCGGTGGGCTGGCGAATGGGCCTTCAATGCTACCCCCGTCAAACTACTTTATTAAGTTGTTTAATTGAGTTTTAAATCGGCTTATAATAAGTTCTAATTCGGCCCAACTCATACATCCTTTGTAGTGATTACAGCTTATTTTATGATTTTTTTTTAATATGACTAGTCCCCTTTTCTAAAGTTAGGAAATAAGTTTTTCTTTGACTAAGAGAAGTATTTTTATTTAATATTTTTTTAATTATATATATTTGTTTTATTATATATATACTTAATTACTTAAGTCCTTATGATTTATTCGTATCTAAAATAATTTTTATATTTTAAAAAATATAACATGTAGGCTTCTATTTTGAAATCTGAGTTAATAAATATTAAAATCTACTTATCATTAATATAATTTATTTTTTTTTAAAGAAAATCACTTCCTCAATAAGATGAACCATAATCTTTTTTAAACTTAAATTATACATATCATTATATTAATAATTTATTATAAATCAACATATCACATAAATAAACTATAACAGAAATAACTTATGTACTATGTTTTTAAAAATATAAAAATTATTTTAGATAAATAAATCATACAGATTTAAATGATGCATGATAAAAATCACATAGACTAAAATAAATTTGAACTCTTTTATAAACTTAAATTATACGTATTATTATATTAATAATTTATTATAAATCAATATATCACGTTAATAAACTATTAATGTTTGTTAACTGTTGAGAGAAACTTATATGTTATATTTTTTAAAATATAAAAATTATTTTAAATACGAGTAAACTATAAAAGATCCATTACCAAAAT